CCCTTGTCTTCTAGTTGCTGCTTCTGCTGATCCTCTTCGTTGTGCTCCTGCTGCTGCATGTCATGCTGCTGCTGGCCCCGACCGTCTTCCTGCTGCTGCTGCTCCCGTACGCCTTCCCCCTGCTGCTGCTGCTCCCCGTCGTCCTCCTGCTGTGGTTCCAAGCGATGCTGCTCCGCTTGGTACTGATTGTCCTCTTGGTGTTGTTGCCGCTGCTGCTCTTCAAGTTGCTGCTTCTCGTGCGGCTGCTGCTTTTCCTGCTGTTGCTGCTTCTCCTGCTGGTGTTGCTCCTCCTCTTGCTGTTTTTGCTCCTATTGCTGGCTCTCTTCCTGCTGCTCCTCATGCCGCTGCTGGTCTTCGTGTTCCTCTTGCTCCTGCCGCCCTTGTTGTGACTGCTCCTTCTGCTGCCGCTTGTTCTTTGGGCCCACGACCCGATCTGCTGGTGGAGGCATGCTAAGCCCCGAAAGCGACCCCGGACGTGGCACTGCCAAGCGCTTTGCATTGTCCTCGATGCGTTTCGGCACTTCTGCCCAGTCTGTTTGTGCAAGGGTCTTTGCCACAGCCCTTTCCCGGTCATCATGTGAGGCTCCCTCGGCCTCCAAGTCCACGATGCCAGTGGTTGGAGGAGGGGGAGGACAGTTATGAACACCGCATACCCTGTCTTGCTCGTCCTCGTCATCGAGCCTGCGGCTGTAGAACGCATAGTCTGGGTCATCATCATCATCATCAACATCCCCATATGCCTCCTCGTCCACCTCATCCACCTCATCGTCTTCTCCCTCCATTGTCATCTTCTCCTTGCCGTTCACACTTCGTGGCGGTTGTTCCTTCCTCTTCCCACTCCAAATGATCTCCTCTTCGCTCGAGGAGTAGTCCGATTCGTTCGAAGACGTACCGATGGGAATCCTTCCCTTGGGGGTCTTCCTCAATCTTGCCTGTCGCAACACCTCCTCCTCATCCAGCTCCAAGGGTCGTGGAAGAACAGCAGGATCGTTGGCGGGCGGAGCCTCCGGGTCATCAAAGAAACATGCCCAGACATCAACGAAGCCGTCCTTCATGCTCTTCGGGATAGACTGAAGCTGCATGTTCTAGTGTATGTATACAAGCTTTGCGAGGCTCTCAGATGAGAGATTGTTCCTCCTCTTCGTATGGATGAGGTCGAGGGAGGACCAATTTCGCTCGGATGGTGTTGCCGTGCTCCACATCGCAGTGAGACGAGTAGCAATYTTCTGCAGATCCTTGTGGTTCCCACCATATKAAGCCCACCATTGAGATGYTGTCTTACGATCAAGACAGCTGTCTGCAACGCCAAAGCCATCCCACATGGGCTCCTTTGCACGCTCCTCCTTCGTCGGAGGCTCGCAATGAAACGCCCACAAGCTTTGCCACACGTTAACGTGGGACTGCTCCGACCCCCACGTCTCCCCTCCGAGCTGCGTCATGAAGTACTTGATGGCATTTTGCACCAAAAGACTATCCTTGTCCAACACCCAGCGAGGGTCCCTCCTGTTCGGCGCCAGCAAGAAGTTAGCAGCATGCGCAGGCTGCCTCATCCTCTTGCATCGATCATGAACAATCGCCATGACGTCCTGCCGCTGCTCCTCCGTGAGGCCGAAGATCGTGCGCAACCACTTCTCCAAAAGCTCCCCAAACCCCCACAATTGTGAGGGTGCAGCGCCGTCGCGGTCCATCCTACGCAGCAACTCGTTCACAGGCCGCATGACACTGACTATTCGCTGCACCTCGATCCACCATTCGTCGGAACGGACCGTGAGGAATATYCGTTYCGCCTTTCGACGGAGCTTCCTTGTGCTCCAATGGATGTTGTTYCAACCCCTCTCCATCATCTCCTTCAACACCCAATCCCTGTCACACAGCCTCTCAAGMATTTGATACRTTGAKGCGAACCTAACTTYTGTGGGCATGATGAGGGTCTTCGTTTCCTCCAATGAACATGCTGAGAACAAAGCCAYTGTGCGATGGTGGTTCYTGATGAACTTCACCATCATCTTYRCCCTCTTCACAATCRTAGCAACCCACGRGAGTTTCGCGATACCCTTCAGCAGCAAACTCAAGGTGTGTGCAGCACAGRGGACCCAGRGGATCCTTGCAATGTACGGATCCTTGCGAAGAGATAGGATCCTCGCTGCCCGTTTGTTCACTTGTGCGTTGTCYGTGCAGATGGCATTCACCCTATGGACCCCGATCTCCCGGATTACCTCCTCCCATAACTTGGCAATGGCAGCYGCATTCGTCTTCCTATGGCTCATGTCAACCACCTTGATCAGCACTGCTCCTCCTTCCCCSRCGCCTATGAAATTGRTGACGGGTCTCCACCTTCGATCAGTAGTGTYGTYCGTGATGAGTGTGCAGCCTGAAATGTCCCACTTGTCCATCACGGGTCGCACWWCCTGCTTCACCTGGTCATACACAARATCCAATATGGCRGTGCGGACTGTCTCGAACATCGGCATGTCCACCTTCGCCTTGGTGGCCCCCAATTCCATGTACAGGTTATGGAGGGCGCGCGTCTCATCTTGTCTGACGAAATTGAAAGGGACCCCGGACCTGAACAACGCCCTCCCCCATTGGGTGTCCAACCTCTTCTGGGCTGCGTTCTCGGCCCACTTCCGAATCGAGGTTTGTGTGGTTCTCGTGGACTTTGACCCGGATGTGGAGGCTTGGAAGGAGGGCCCCGCTGTTGGAGGGACTATTTTGTCTTGTGTGTCCTCCACAGGGGCTCCTACCGCTGCTTGCCCTTCAACCCGCACTTCTCTCCCAGGTGTAGGCGGCGGCCTGAGAAGCTCTTCCATCTCATCTGATTTGCCTGTCGCCAATGCACCAGTCGGCTCCATCCCTGTATCCTCTGCAATCCCTTTCTGTACACGATACTGATGGACCATCTTCTTTGCAGCCTCCCCCTCAATCTTCCCTCCCCTTAGTGCCAGGAGATGCAGGACCTCCCCGTTCCTGTATGGACAAGGCTTCCCCTTCCGCAGGAAGTGTTCCATCGCTCGGGTGGAGGACGCAGTGAACTGCTGGTGGCAGAGTTTGCAGCGGACCCAATACTGGCCGTACCCTTTTGGCTCTGCTGCCTGCCCACGCACTATCCACTTGTACACGATGTTCTCCTTCTGCAACGCCTCCTGCTTTTCGTCTGTTTGGGCCTCGAACGGTGGCTTATCTTTGGGTGCACCTGCCTTCACTTTGTCCTTGCCTGCACTGCTGCTGCTCTCGCCTGGTGCCACCATGATGAACAGAGAAGATAGACGAAGAAGAAGAAGAATGAAGAAGAAGAAGAACGAAGAAGAAGAAGAACGAAGAAGAAGAAAGAAGATAGAGAAAGAAGAAGGAGAGAGAAAAAGGAAGGAGTGCAGTATTAAGAAACGGTACGACCGTTGAGGGCACAGCAGACCGTACGCCTCCAGCTGGAAGATGGTGCTGCAAGTGCGGATCACAAAACGGAAAGCACACCGTATTAAAACAGATGCCACCGGTCCATTGCCACAACGTGAAGGACAAAAGGGCACGACGATGTTAAGGAGGAGGTGGACTGATCTGATCTGATCTTGATCAAAAGATCAGATCTGATCTGATCATAACAGATCAGATCTGATCTCGGATGACACGATCAGATCTGATCTGATCACGTCAGATCAGATCAGATCTTTTCTGATCAGATCAGATCAGATCAGATCAGAACAGATCTGAGCAGCGAAGTTGCGGACTTAAAAAAAAAAAAAAAAAAAAAAAAAGGTTTACTTCCCCTCACCTCCTCCTCCTCCTTTGCTGATCAGAACAGATCAGATCTGGTCTGATCACAACAGATCAGATCTGGTCTAATCAGAACAGATCAGATCTGATCTGGGATGACATGATCAGATCTAATCTGCTCACATCAGATCAGATCAGATCTGTTCTGAATCTCTGATCAGATCAGATCAGATCAGATCAGATCAGATCAGATCAGATCAGATCAGATCAGATCGGATCTAATCTGATCAGATCAGATCGGATATGATCTGATTAGATCAGATCGGATCTGGTCTGATCAGAACAGATCTGATCAGGTCCGATGTAATCTGATCTAATCTGATCAAGTCAGATCAGATCAGATCTGATCAGATCCGATCTCATCCGATCCGATCTGATCGGATCTGATCTGACGTGATCAGATCAGATCTGATCTCCCCCTCCTCCACCACCTACCATCAAGATCCCGTCCTCGTCCTCGTCCTCCTCCTCCTCCTCCTCTTCTTTGCTCCTCCTCCTGCTCCTCCTCTTCTTTGCTCCTCCTCCTCCTCCTCCTCCTCTTCGCTTCTCCCTTTCTCACCACGTGGTGCCCCAGCACCGCCCCCCCAATCAAGACGCTGTCCTCCCTCTCCCCCTCCTCCAATACCCACGTGGCGCCCCAGCCCCAATCCCCCTTTCTCGCCACGTGCCGTCAAAGTGACGCAGCGAATCAGCGAACAAAAAAAAATAAAAAAAAATAAAAATCAAATCTCCTTCTCCTCTCCTCCTCATCCTACTGTGCTCCTCCTCCTCCTCCCCATCCTGGACCACCTTCCATTTCGAACCCTCCTCCTCCTCCTCCTTCTTTGGTCCTCCCCCTCCTCTTCTCGTTGAACATCTCCCTCTGTAGCCACTTGTCCAACCCTTCTCCTCCTCCTCCACCTACCATCAGCATTCCCTCCTCCTCCTCCTCCTCTTCGATTCTCCGTTTCTCGCTACGTGGCGCCCCAGCACCGCCCCCCCAATCAAGACGCTGTCCTCCCTCTCCTCCTCCTCCTCCTCCTCCCTCTCCTCGACGTGGCGTCAAAGTGACGCAGTGTTACATCTTTGACGCACACGGGTCCTACCGGACCCGACTTAGGGCCGGAGGGACACATCAGGGCCTAAAGGCCCGACCTTGGGGTACTACAGGCCATAAAGGCCTCACCTTGGACCAGACCCGACGGGCAGGCCCAAACGACATTACCGTTTGGGCCTGGTGGCACTGTTGAGGCTGCCGCCCGCCGGTTGGGGCTGAACCGTCCATCTGGACGGTTCAGGGCACAGCCAGGCCTGGCAGCAGTGAGGCCGGCCTCTGCCCACTGGTATAAAGAACCGGTCCGGCCTCACTTCGGGGATCGACCCACCGGTATACGATACGGTGCGGTAATGTCGGCACCAGAGTGCCGTTGGAGCGCTATGTTTAGCGCAGGAGCGAGGAGCAGGCAGCGCAGCGTTAGCGCAGCAGCAGCGAGCGCCGCAGCAGCGAGCGGAGCAGCAGCAGCGGCGACTGGGTTACCGGCGGCCATAGCCGCCTGAGGTACAGGGAGTTGGAGGCTTCTCTCCTCCCTCCCATCGCCAGTCCCCTCTCTCTCCCTCTCCTCCTCGGCTCCCTTCTTCTTCTTCTTCTTCTTCTTCTTCTTCTTCTTCTTCTTCTTCTTCTTCTTCTTC